ATTCGGAAATCGTTCTCAAAATACAAACAGTAAATTAAACAAATTTTTTTTTGTTACATAGTGAAGAAATTCTTCTAATAATTTAATTTTACCTGACTCATTTATATTGACAATTCAGACATACATTATGCATTTTAAAGTAGACGACTTTAAAATGATATTGAAAATATTGTTGAGTTGCGCTCCTGGGACGACTTTATTTATAAGATAGTTTGTCTTTAAAAAGACAAACACATGACATGATGACAGTAAAATTCTCCTGTTAGTGATTCCATAGTAAATTATGAGAGAAAAACCAGGAAAAAAAATTAAATCCTTATACGATAGAGCCAAAATTACTTGTTCTAACGAAAATTCGTTCTTGGAGGAGAAACGTTTGTTAACATCTATTTTATTAAAAAATGATTATCCTTTATCGTTTATAAATAAGGAATTTTCAACAATCGATCGAATAGAACAGAACAACTTAGAACGAGATCCTACAGCATACACAAGGAATAATATGAGGAAAATAACAATACCGTACATAAAAGGATTATCAGAAAAACTTAAAAGGATAGGAAATAAATTCAACATTTCAACAACATTCAAAACAACAAACACGTTGAGATCTATTTTGTCCAAAACCAAACCTAACAGTGAACAAGAAAGGACAAAGAATTGCATTTATAAAATACCTTGTGAATGCGATCAGTTTTATTTAGGTGAATCATCAAGGCCATTAAATGTTAGAATAAGTGAACATCAATCTTATATTAAAAATAGAGAATTTGATAGATCTCAAATATGTAAACACGCATGGGATAATGAACATAGGGTTCAATGGAATAATTCAAATATAGTCCTAAAAGAAACGGATGGCAAAAAAAGAAAAATCAAAGAAGCGGCTCTAATTATGCTAAATGAGGCCAATTGTGTCGCAAATTCCTCGGCAGAATGTAGTAGGATCTGGTTACCAATATTGAAAGGGAAAGTTATTAATAAGAAAATACCAGTATTAGTAAGTCAGTAACATATAGCGGATACATCATTTATGTTTTTTAAATAACGTAACATATAAAATCAGAATTTTGATGTTTGTTGAAGGTAAACTAAATTCACGACCAAATACTTACAATGTCGGGATAGTATTATGAGGTTTTTTTTTCCTGGTTTTTCCCTCATAATTTACTATGGAATCACTAACAGGAGAATTTTACTGTCATCATGTCATGTGTTTGTCTTTTTAAAGACGAATTACATGCTATGATTTTTTCTGACGGATATTCTCAAGTTAAAGTTGATTTCATGTAATCGAATGAACTATCTTATAAGTAAAGTCGCCCCAGGAGCGCAACTCAACAATATTGGCAATATCATTTTAAAGTCGTCTACTTTAAAATGCATAATGTATGTCTGAATTGTCAATATAAATGAGTCAGATAAAATTAAATTATTAGAAGAATTTTTTCACTATGTAACAAAAAAAAATTGTTTAATTTACTGTTTGTATTTTGAGAACGATTTCCGAATTGGAAATTGAAACGTCAATAAACGTATTTTTGTCTTTAATTGTGACTTATTCCCAGTTATAAATAGTAATTAATTTACAATTCCACAAGAAAATAGCTTCAGAACAATATTAAGTTCCTTATTGATTTTTATTCCATATAGCTATCTCGCAAGTGCCTTTTTAAATACCTGATCCGAGCAAACGATGAACAATGTTTGGGACAAAATGCAACCCTGTCCTCGTTGAATAGAAATTTTGTCGGTGTAGTTATCTCCAGTTTTTACGATAGCAGTTTATTCCAGTACATATTTTTAATGACACGAATATCTTTGCGATCTATTCCTATCTTTTTTAGCGTCTGCGTTAATTTTACATGTTGTACTTTATCGAATGCATTTTCGAAGTCCACGAAGCATGCAAATATATCTCTTCTTCTTCAAATACTTTCCTCTTTCATCACGGCATTTTTGTAATAGGATATTTAGCGCAAAAGTGCCTCCCTAGTTCCCACATCTCTAAAATTAAACTAGTTATCTTCGAGATCTTCTTCGCATTTGAGTAATTCTGTTATGAAATATTCTTAGTAAAATCTTAAGAGTGTGGCTCATTATGTTGGATTTATGCTTAGTTCTCTTTATGGATTGACAACTTTTAACTGTTTAAAATACAAAAATAACGGACTACTTGGAGGAACACGGTGTCCGTTAAAGCCGAAAGTCCTTTATATAAAAATATGTTTAAAATAATATATAAAAAATACAAATAAAATTCTCTTTACTTGTCTTCGGACATTCGCCGTGAAGTGACGTTGGTGTGGATATCGACGCGCTTGCTGTCGGTAATCATGTTTTAAAAAAGCAATTAAGTTTCGTTTGCAATTTCGATGTTTGCTGTTTTTTTTTATGATCAACTCTCTAAAATTACGGAACTTCCATCCTTATGTTTTAGGTTCATAACTTCATCTGCTTAGACCAAGATATGAGAAATATGGAAATACGTGCTTGGCAGAGGAAGGCGATGGATAAGGACGACTGGAAGCGAATTCTTGGGGAGACTAGGACCCACACAGGGTTGTAAAGCCAAAATGATGATGACTTCATCTGCTATTTCACTTTCAGTAATCATGTTATATCCAGGGTCACGTACTCTAGCCCAGGGTCAACTTCTTTAGATCTACTACTAGCCATTGTAAAACATCTTCCTCAGCTATATGTTCTCCTGCATTATTATTTATTGACCTACAGTGATCAGTAAATTCCAACCCTTCTGAATCTATGCATCTTGGCCATCAAACAAATTCTTCCAACCACTTTTTAATGTTTGCTCTTATACATCCTCCCATGCTACAGAAAAATTAAAACATGTTGATTTTAAATTGTAAGACCTTAAGTTTTGCAAGCTACGCTGTCTTCTTGTATATTCTGCATTAAATCCATCGTGCAATACAACCATTACTTCGTCTAAAAACTTTCTGCGATGCATAGATTAATAAGTGATGTATTTTTGGCAAAAACATACAGCTAAAGTCGCCATTTTCTGAACGTAGAATATTTTCAGAGGGGTGAGCAGGAGCGTTGTCTAAAAGCAATAAACATTTCACCTCTTATGGCCGTATTCCCAATTATGCTCCTCTTATGCTAAATTTTATTGAAATTTTTTGTAAAATACAGTTTTACTGATGGGAATTTTTGTCCGTTATATCCGAAGTCCGTTATATCGACGGTTTACTGTAATTGAAAATGGTGGACGAGTACCATCTTTAACGAGATTGTGTGGCATGTAATACATAATTTTAAAGCTGTTGTAGTTAAATTAGTCAGTATGTTTCTAAATATTTTTATGATTCTATAGCGCAATTTCAAAGTGCCTTAATAATTTGATAGTGTTCTGCTGATATGGAAAACGCTCGAACATGTCAATTTATTTTTTGTTTTGTACATTCCGAATTCACTTGTTGCTAAACATCATCAAAAATATGACAAATAGATCAATGGAAAGTCATATGGAAGAACTTAAAACTCTCAATATTCCTTGGAACCGTCCCACCTATATTGCAGACGGAAATACGCATCATAGACGCCTTTTTTCCGTCAGTGCCAAGGGGTGGCAACTATTTTAACTGTCTTAGCAACAGCTTTCATCATCAATCAGCCAATCGCGTCCACTGCTGGACATAGGCCTCCCTCAATTATTTCCAGTGTTCTCTACACTGGGCCGCTTGTAGCCAGTTTCCCGCTACACGTTTAATGTCATCGGTCCATCTAGTCGGTGGTCGTCCTCGGCTTCTTTTATAATTTCTGGGCCTCCATTCCATAATGCGTCTTGTCCACCGTCCATCTTGTGTTCTGGCTAAGTGCCCTGCCCAGTTCCACTTAAGCGTCGTGGTTCTTTCGATGACGTCTTGAACTCCTGATCTTCGTCTGATTTGTTGGTTTGTTATGTGGTCTCGAAGGCTCACGTTCAGCATTGCACGTTCCATGGCTCGTTGTGTAACTCTAAGTTTATTCGCAGATTTTTGCGTGAGTGTTAAAGTCTCTGCTCCATAAGTTTGTACAGGTAAAACACATTGGTTATAAACCTTTCGCTTGAGACACATGGGAATTGAACTTTTTAGAATATGGCTTAATTTGCCAAATGCTGCCCATGTTAGACCTATTCGCCTCTGTATTTCATGTGTTTGATTGTCTCTGCTTATTTTGATTTCGTGTCCCAGATATTTGTAAGTGTCTGTTTGTTGTATGGTATTATTGTCAATAGTTATATTTCCACTCATTACGAGATTTGTTATAATTTTAGTTTTCTCAAAGTTTATCTTTAATCCTGCTCTTTCAGACAGACTTTTAAGCGAATGCATCATAGTAACTGTATCATGTAAGTTATCTGCGATTAATACAACATCATCTGCAAACCTTAGGTGATTTAATCTTTCTCCATCTATATTGATGCCCATATCTTGCCATTGAGTACCCTTAAATATTGACTCTAGAGCTGCCGTGAACAATTTTGGTGAAATATTGTCTCCTTGTCTAACTCCTCGTCCTAAGCTGAATTTTTCTGTGTCTTCGTGCAGTCGTATACTTGATGTAGCGTTCTGATAGGTGTTTTTGATTAGTGTCGTGTACCTGTAATCTATTCGGCTTTGATTTAGGGCTTCCAGTATTGTTTCAAACTCTACAGAATCAAAAGCCTTCTCGTAATCGACAAATGCAAGAACCAGTGGTATGTTGTACTCGACAGCAACAGCTTTAGTATCCAATAAAACAAAGTTTTTTTGTTTTGAAAATTATTTTATATTGAAAAAATAGACTCAGTTACATAAATGCAAATGAACTAACATTGGAATGGTAAAAAATCTCAAAAAAGTACTTACACTTACAAAATTGAGTTGTCAAATGCAAATAACTGTATATTATTTATGAAGTCTTTTGAAGACTTTAAAGTATGAGAATTATATACACATAATTTATATTTAAAGGATTGCACAATACGAAATAAACGGAAATATATTAAAAATCCAAATAAAACATATATTTTTAAATAAAATATAAGATTTACAATATTAAGCCATGCGGATTGATTGAATGATTTGGAAAACGGCGGATCCACATACTACAAACACAAAAAGTGCCAATAGCCATGGTCCTACAGGTGATGATTCTTGACTTTGTTTCTGAAAAAGAAAACCACATGAATTAATATAAAACATAGGAAAAATAAGAAATATAAGCAAAAAATAATCATGTATGAGAATTACTAAACCAAGATCCAATCTTAATTTTTGAGCTGAAAACAGGTAATTATATGAGCCCCACTGGCAGAGCTCCCATTATGTTAATAAAGAACTATCGGTTTTCAGATCTTTAATTCTATTAACACTATCCGCAAATTCCTGCTAATAAAATTACATAGTTAATGCGGATAATTTATAGATTAAAATCTCATTGAAAAATCTATTGAATAGAACAAACCTCATGTGCTGACTTTCATAGATTTTCATAAAGCGTTCGACACGATCGAAATAGACAGCCATATAGAAGCAATGGATGATAGCATATATGAATTTACAGTATTTACAAAAATGCCACTATGACTGTTAAGATAAATAAGAAGAAGAAACTTAGAAAACTAAGTTTATGATAAATATGGTTTCCAATAAGCATTTAACTATTCAAGACAAAGTGGTAGAACTGCTGGAGAAATATACGTATTTCAGTGATGAAATAAGAATCAGCAGGGATAACCAAACATGCGAAATCCAAAGACGAATTACTTTAATGAGGGCAGCCTTTGGAAAACTGCGAGATACACTTAGGGCCAACATACCAATTAGCTTCAAAAGAAAAGTATTTGACCAATGCGTATTATCGGTCATGGCCTATAGAGCGGAAACTATGACTGTAACCAAGGCTACGGCTTCCAAATTGAGAGTGGCACAGAGACGAATGGAACAGTCTATGCTGGGAGTGACGTTGCGGGACCGAATAAGAAACGATGATCTGCGAAAAAGGATGAGTATTGCTGATGGTGTGAAACGCATAGCAGAACTGAAATGGAGGCCAAGAGCATACAAATGGATACTAGAGATACATAGAGGAAGACCACCTACACGTTGGGCTGACGATATCAGGCATATCACCAAAAATTGTCAACAAATAGCACAAAATCGTAAAGGATAGAGGAGTTTAAAGGAGACCTATGTCCAGCAGTGGACATGACAAACGAAGGCTGGATGATAAAGAGAAAATTAGTTTACAAATGCAGAAAGAAACTAATAATTGCATAAAATGCGATAATTCTCGGAAGTTGGTTATACACCATATTAGTTAAAAAAACTCAAACATCGAAGTAAAAAGCTGCTGTTGTGACATATTTAATTAAAAAATTAAATTAAAAAATCCAAATTGATTATAATAAAGTTCAGAGCGTCATCTTCAGTGAACTTTTGTAGTACTTGTGTAACTAACCGCAAAACCAAACAGTGATTTTTTCAATGTAAACCCAACCACTGTTGTTTTTGCGTTTAGTTACGCAAATACTACAAAAGTTCACTGAAGATGAAACATTCTGAACTTTATTATAATCCATTTGGATTTTTTAATTTAATTTTTATTATATACACCACTTGCAACAACAGATTTTTACTTCGATGTTAGAGTTTTTTAATAATTGCAGTCTCTCTGGCTAGTTCAGGATATTTTCCGTTTCTCTTCATTCACATGACAGAAGGCATGCTTAAAATTCTATTTTAAACATAGTATGAGCAGCCAAATCTATAAGAATTTCTTTTGTCCTCAGATTAGCCAATTGGACTGATTTAACTATACTTAATAGGTTTTAGTATTCATCTATGCCTGCTCTTAGGCTGGGTGTTCAGTTCTGGAAAGTGATTGAAGAGTTTCTCTTCTAAATTGTGCAAACTTTATACCATACAAGGAATTTGAGAATCTATTATCACCAATTGGTGAATGTAAGTGAAAACCGAGGTGTGTTCTGGAGAGTCTAATCGTTTAATTTTTTTATTATGTTGGTACACATGCCCCTAAAGTATAAGACCATTTGGGTGCAACATTCATTGTTTACCTTGTCTGTAAAGACTGTAGATTTTGCATAAAAAACGAAATAAAGTATAACAAAACAAAAAAAAACAAAAATCAGAAGGCTATTCATATGTATTTAAATATTTAGGTGGCTGAGAAAATTAGTCAAAAATGTTAGTTTCAATAGCCAAACGCAAAAATAAATGGGACATTAAAATTTAGTATCTTGTAGATACATTAACAAATCAATAATTTTTGTTTTTGCTGTGCTCAGTTCTAAGATCATTTATATTCATCCACTGTTCAAAATTTCTGCAGGGTTACCTTGCACTTTAATTCCATAGAGTGAACTCATGTATTCACAAATGATTCTAAAGATATGTGTACAAGACTTTATCTTTAATTGAGTTCACAACTTTGAAAACCTTTTCAATGAGAGTATCCATGTAACATTTATTTGATTGATTTCACATTCAAAAGTTTGATTGTATTGTCAGTGCTTTCTAAAAACAGTTCGTAGATACACTGACCAGTAGAGTGCAGAAAAAATGTTTTGTAAAATAAAATGTTATATACACAAATAAACAATACAAAAAAAAATAAATATTAATCAAATTGGAAAGCAAAATTGGCCTTTTTTCAAATTTTTCTACTATTTTTTCTCTAATGTCATGTGCCATATTGACGAGTCTGCACTTAATAGTACTATCAGACACTAGTATGATTCTGAGCTTGTCGTAGTAGTAGTATTTATTTCGAAAATTGTACATACATATATATACAAAGACACACATAGAGACACTCGTGAGCGAAATACATGTCAAAACAAAGAAAGAAATTACAGATATCCTGTTATATATTTGAATTCATAAAGTCAATTACCTTGTATGGATAATCTGCAACAGTAATGTATGCACAGCTTTTTTATACCAAGTTAATTTTGGCATTACTCTAATGCCATAGGACAATTTATTAAAGAATCACATGCAAGAATATTTGGCCCCTTTTTCTGTTACAGCCAATCTGTGAAGAGTAAATATACTCAATCCCCCTATTGTTATAACAGGTATATTCATTTCAAACATATCTATAGGTAGATGCATTTCAAACATATGTTTATTTCCAAAGAGGAATAGTAGACATTCCTCAATATATATTACCAGTACTGTTAAGATATTGTTAGTTTTGAAAACTCCTCTGCAAGATGTTGCAAATCTCATTTTTGTAATCATTCTGAGAAAAATATTTGATCAAGTTGATTGCTTCCACCATAAAAAATTGCCCCATAACCCACCAAAAATTCAAAGTTTAAAAAATAAATTATTTTTAGATCATCTTGATTTAAATATTGTGATAATAGCATACTGAATTCAACCTTTTATCAAGTTGCAGTTTGTAACTTTTCCATGTCAATGCTGCATCAATTGTCGTGCCTAAAAATGTAGTTCTAATGCCAATTTCAACGTTTGTATCATCTAACAGAAGCTTATTTGGATGTTCCATGTTTGATCTGGTTGGTAATGGATAATGTTTAATCTAAACATTAAACAATTCTGTTTTGTTTATTAATAATTAATTCTTCACTAGAGAACCACTTTAACATTTCTCCATAAATATGGACACCTTAATTTAGTGAAATTTCCAAATGATATGCAACTACTAGAACATTCATAATAATCATCAGCATAATTAATTAGACTGCAATTGTCACTATTACCACAGTACATCATATCTTTTATGTACAATATGAAAATTATCCATTAAATTATGCTGCACTGAGGAATGCCTAATTTTATAGGTTTAATTTCCGATTTAATAAATTCTTCTTCTTCTTCTACGACACTACAGCCCAAATTGAGCCTTGGCCTCCTTTATTTTTTGCTTCCACCCTTGCTTGTAAGTGGCTGACCTTCTCCATACACGGACTCGTAAAACGGCTTGTGTGTAGCTGTTTACTGTGTCTTCCCAGCGCTTTCTTGGCTTTCCAACTGGTCTCTGCATTCTATCTTTCATTGCTCTTTTTGGTAGCCTATCCTCTCCCATTCTTATCATATGTCCGGCCCATTGAAAATTTTAAATTCTAATGAAGTCTGACAGTGGTGCTTCCTTATAAAGTTGATGAAGCTTGTTGTATCGACTTCTGAAGATTCTGTTTTCCCTCACAGGTCCTAGTATTCTCCTCAGTACTTTCCTTTCGAATGTGTCGAGTTATTAGTCAAATTAAGATTTTATAGATTCTCGTCTTTCTATTTCGGTGGACATTTTTAGACCGAAATATATGGGAGAGTGCAAAATAAGCTGTTTGCCTGCGTTATTCTCTTCCGTATTTCTCTATCTTCTGATCCGTCGGTATATATTTCTACTCCCAGATATTTAAACTCTTCAACCGTTTCAATGTCATCTTCATGTATAATGTTTTGTGGGACTATATAATAATTTCCAGACCTAGTCTTTTTGTTTGAGTTTTAACTCTGCGTATATTTCCTGTGCTCCTGTTGATGTGTTACTCATAATATGAATATTATCTGCATAAGTGGCCAGTTGAACCGTTCAGTTGGTCAGTAGGTTTCCACGTCCAGTTTGTATTTGACTAACCGCATACTCCAGAGCCAGGTTAAACAAAGTTGGGGCCAGCCCATCTCGCCAGCCCTTTCAAAAAATATATTCACATTATCTTCTGTTAAAATTACTGTTTGTGATCTTCCTGATAAGAATGATTTGAACCAATTATGGGATACTCCATTTATACCACATAAGATTAATTTTTTCAGTAATAGATCGGGATTTACACAATCATATGCTTTTGTTAAATCTTGTCTCCCTCCAGCTTAACATAATTTCCCCCACATTCGGGGCTGCTGATAAAATATGCAGAGTCTCAGCCACTTTATGCAGCTTTTCAGTTTTACCAACTCAGTAAAACTGTTTGTCGACGGTATTCATATAAGAATCCTCGTATTAAAAAAAATACCTAACAAATTACCGCCGATGGTTGTACCAAATACGTTCAATACGTTTTAGGAGCGTAGGCGCATAATTTCGGGCCAATGCTTTCTAAATGCATTCATTTTTTTCGAATCCTGAGAAAACTAATAAGTATTTTTGAAAAATTTAAACGCAGAATGAAATATTACATTATTACCGAGGGCCGAAAGTCACTGAAAACTTCTATATTGTAATATTGTTTATTTTAGTAGGTAAGTTACATGGGTGAAAAAGAAGAAAATTAAGTGTCATTTTTAATTTCAAATATCTCATTAAAAAGAAACTTTTTGTTTATTCTAAGGGACTCTTTATTTTTTGTTTGTCTTGCCTCTTATAAATGTCTCACAAGGTACGATATGTGCCAATTTAACACTAGGACACTGCAAGATATGTGTGTCATTTAACTTCGTAGGCGTGTATGATTTGAAACATATTCGACATAGAGTAGTATAAATTCAAAAATCGATTGTTCATCTTAAAAGGTCTTGACTAACTTAAAAATAATTTGAAAATCAAACTTTAATCAAAAGACTTACTGCATATATACTTAAATAAAAAGTTTATTATTATAATTGAATAAGCTAGAAATTGCTTTTCTAGAAAAAACAATCTTAAAATCCATTCTATAATAAATTATCTTAAGCCCAACTAATAAAGTAAATAAAATGTCGTGTTCTAAGACATATTATAAATTAAATAAAAATATATTTTAAGAGTTTTTAATTAATTTTCATATCTTATCTTTCTAAACAATACATAATCGAAACTACTACGCACAACAATCAATTTCTGGTGCTAAATTTAAATTGGAATATATTTTTGTAAATTATCATCAAATAAAATAAACAAGTAAAAAAAGGAGAGAATGGAGAGAAGTACTGAAAAATACTGAAACACTATAGAAATTGATTTTATGGTTTTAAAACTATTTTCTTATGACCTATTTTTATATTACCTACTATGTTTTAATTGGGAACGATTGGAACCTGGAATGTCCAAACCATGGTGTAGACAACAGGCAAAATGCAATGTATTGCCCAGGAACTGCAGAAATATGAAGTAGTCAAATCTAGGAACGCTTTTAAAATCCTACAATCGACACACTCACTTGATGCGCAGTAAAATATCCAGAAATTATCTTAGTAAGAGAAGTAGCTCGAGCTGTAAAGTAGTTATTAGCCTTGACAAATAATACTGTGGAGTGGAAAGACCTTTTGGAGTAGGTTGTATGGTAAACCATAAATGCCACAAGTCAATATCTATTGGGTTTCACTCCAGTTAAGGAAAAATATATGTCAAATTAGCCTAAGGGGTTTTCATAATATTACAATTTTATTAATATCCATGCCCCAACAGAAACAGCAGATGAACTAAAAACTGATCAATTCTATGACCAACTACACATAGAATCTGAAAATGTGCAAAAGGGAGAAGCAGTTATATTTGTGGGTAATAATAACACTAAGTTGGGAAAACAACTAATATAATAAACAGAATATTACCAGCAAAAACGATACCTATAAAAGTGGCACAGTTGGCAATGGCAAATAAACTCAGAGTAGTTAGTATGTGCTTCCCCACAAAAATATGAATAAAGAAACCTGGATGATACATTGTACTAATAAATTTAATCAAATTAATCATATATTAATATCTAAGCGATGGATAACCTCCGTAACAGATGTTAGATCTTATGAGGCACAAATGGCGATTCAGATCATTTCTAGGTAATATCGAAGATAAAACGGAGTATCAATTGTAAGAAAAGAGAAAGGCGCCAAACAAAGAAAATGGAACACATATGTTTAAAAATCATAAGAAAAAGAACCAGCAGAAAATAAACATAATATTAAATAAAAGAGATGAAAATAACATCGAAGGTGAATTGAATATCATCCAAACGACAATTACCAATACAACAAGGTAAACATTAGGCAAAACCTCAAGCAAAAGAAACAAGAAATATATTCAGCTTGTACTTTTTGTAAACTCAACGTAAAATGTATTAAGTTGTTAAAAAAATATTTTTTTAGACTTAATAAGGAGTGATTCCAAGACCTGAACATTTGAAAAACATTCAATTATTATTTTTATTGGGAACTATTTTTACCACAATTTTAGTTTAAAATATATTTATTTTGATGTTTCAATTTCCAAAAAAAAGTTCCAAAATTTTGTTTAATTTTTATTTTGGGAACAATTTCTGAAGTGGAAATTGAAATGTTAAAATAAACATTTTAAACTACAATTGTGATTAATTCCCAATAAAAATAGTAAATAATATTAAAATGTCACAAGGGCACAGCTTGAGAACAATATCATTGTCAATTATATTTCAGAATATGATGGTACTATGCTACATACATTCTACTATAAATTATTTCAATATATATAACACTTGAGCATACATAGTTTCACAATTTTTGTGTAAAAGGGAATATTTCTAAAGGATTGAAATGTTCTAAATTAGAATGTCTGCCACATCAAACACTATTTTAATATAAAAATTACATCTCTCTTGAATTACATTTCATTCATGAATATAAGTATTAGGTATACATTTAGGTTTTTTGAATGATACTTGATTCATTGGTTTGAACTTGAATTGATAAAAACTGACTTTGCAGTATACCCATATTTTAAATAAATCTAAAATATTTTTACATACAGTTCTATTTTAGATTGTCCCAAACTTATTTACAGAAAATCTAAAGATGCAAAACTCTTTCTACTTTATCTATTCCCACCCTACCATAAAGTCAACCTGTTGAAAGTACAACACTTAGTTCAAATATTTGTCTTTCTGTTTTCTTTTTTGTGCATGACTTTAATGAGAAACTTTCCATGCAATAATTATACTCTCCTTTGTTAAATATCAATATTCAAATTCTGTAGTCTATATTTTTAAACTAAGAAGTTTTAAATTCTATATTCCTGGATTTGGTGATATATTCAAATTTTTATAGATTGATTCCTACAAATAAGTGTATCGTTTTTAGAGTTCACTTATTTTTGGCCAAAACCAACATTCGAATCTAATATTTCACATTAAAGAGGAAACAAAAACACAAAAACGTGTTCCATATGTTTTCGGAAAATACCCCTAAATTATAATAAAATTTTTTTAAAATATTCGTAAACAAATAAAATAAGACTATGGTAAACCGTTTTCTATGTTAAATACTTTTAATTAGTGTAATTAACAGTAAAAATAAACGTCCAATGGTCTATTTAGTCCATTACAATATGGCAAATATACACTTACCGTTGATTTTGGTACATTTCCTCTCAAAGTGACATTCTTCATGGCTTTCTCGTTAGCCAGACGCATTCTTTGTTTAGGAGCCATTTTTGAATATTATTTATAGTAAATTCCGCAAAGGAACAAAAAGAAAATGAGGCTTTTCAATCTCACGTCTTCCTCCTTTTAAGTGCAAACGTAGAGTGGTTTTGAAATCCAGAAAAATATCAACATTTGATGACAACGACACGAATTTTGACACAAATATGACAACACATCCTTCTAGAATGGATGACGTCTTATCTTCTTCTTATTTGGATAGTTCAATATTTTTTTCACAAATTTTATTCAACCACTTAAAAAAACCGTAAAAAGATAATAATATTAAGAAGTTGATGCGGTTAATAATTATAAATAATAAGAAAAAATAGGAAATGGATTGAAAAGTTTTTATAGAAATAGCATAACGTGTGTCAAAACTAGAGAATGCAAAAAAGATGTCCACTTTTATGTTTTTTAAATATAAAGTGTTACTCAAATGTAATACTTAAAGAAATAGTGCAAAAGTGATTATTTTGTTTTTATTTAAGGTATTTACCTTTTTCTATTGATTACAATTGAGTCAATTTTGTTAAGTACTTCACTGTTTTACTTTTATCTTTTTCTTTCTAAATTTAGAAAGTAGATCAAGTCACTGATGCAGTTGACATTTTATAATAATTTTGGCATATTTCCAAATGTAAATTTTAAGTATTTTATTACGGGAAAATCAAAATTCTCAGTAACTGCTTCAAAAAAATAATTAAATGGACGCGGAAACAGCTGCACCCTCGCTTTTTGAGATAGATTGGTGGGATTTGAAAATATATCAACATCCACCATGCCTTTTTTCTCTATGGTACCTATTCACTATTGTAGATTTACTCTGGAATCCGGTTAAAGAAAAAGTTAATGAACTAATTGAGTTGTGCGGTCCTAAAGAACAACCAGAAGGTGAAGGTGGTGGTGAAGGTGAAGGTGAAGGTGAAGGTGAAGGCAGTGATAAAGCTGGAAAGAGAAAGTGGTGGAAAAGAAAACCTAGTGACGAGGTAGAAGAAGGAGAAGCAACAGAAACGGAAGGAGAAACCGAGGAAGAAGGCGAAGCAACTGAAGAAGAAAAAGCTGAAGAAGGAAAAGCTGAAGAAGGAAAAGCTGAAGAAGCAGAGGAAGGGGAAGGCGGAGAAGGAGAAGGGGAAGGAGAAGAAGAAAAAGAAGAAGAGTAAATATAAGTAATTAATATAATTAACAGCACCCTAAAATACAATCATTTATATTGCATAATATGCTAAATGTTTGAAATAAAAACTGCTTATACTTGGTATATAATAAAAAATGTCATTTGTTATTTTTTTAAAATGTCTACAATTACGAATAAATTTGCATTATTATAATTATGTCATTTATAACCAAACATTGTTTATAATCACATATATATACCTAATATCAAATATTAATTTATATTCATAATCCATTTTTACAAGAGGTGTAATCTTTGTAACTTTACTGCCAGCTTGAAAACTGTGCTTGTACATATCTGAATATAACCTGCTTTCTGATAATCTGAAATTTATCATTGTTTAAAGAATTTTCTGTTTGTTCTTTGTTCAAACTTTAGAATGTAAAAACTACAGGAAGAAACTTAAAATATATGATGGTGCGAACATAATAGAAAAATGTCAATATTACTCAATATTTTACGGTTCATCAATAATGTCAATAAAATATCAATATGTCAATATTACTCAATATTTTACGGTCTTAATGATTTTTTATTACGAGTTACAAAATAAACATCCCTCATTTTATTAATTTTGTTTTATTTTTGGTGTTTGCATGAACTATGAACACAGGAACACACCGATTTTGACATTTGACATGAATTTGAATGTTCTCATGTTGATACTTGACAGACTCTGTCAAATACCCTGGTCAAATTTAAAATGCAACAACAAAACAATAAAGTGCAATAAATAAGTACATTTATTAGATTAGTTTAAAGTAAAGAGACGGTTCTATATAATAATGGATATTACCACAAAATTGTTGGCTTTACAAGAAATATCTAAAGCTCAGCTCTCCAAGATATTAAACGTGGTTTCAAATCCAAAGTATTTAATCATAGAACCATCATTAATTAGACCTCTAGACAGAGTATGTGGTGCTACATGGTTAAAGTAAGTCATTTTTGTATTTTTATTGATGTCCTTAACAGATTTGTATTTTTAGAGGAAATGGCATAGAGAAAATATTTAAATTAGAACCCGTAAATCCATATGCAGGTTCAAATGTTGTATTTTACATGATATATTTTGATACCACAGTATTTAAACAGGTAGTAGATCAGATCAGATCTCAGATTGAGAACATCGAGCAGCCAGTAAAGAATAAATTTCACATTATTGTAGTACCTTGTTACAATTGTGCATTTGAAAATGAACTAGAAAAATTAGGTGTTTATGGTACAATAAGAATACATCACTTCCAGTGGATGCCTTTACATCTTGACACAAGTTTGCTGAGTCTTGAAATACCTAATTTATATAGTTCCCTCTTTGTGTATAAAAATTTTACTTATCTACCTGTTTTGTCCAAATGTTTGTGGCAACTCAACTTTGTAATAGGTAAACCAAGATTTATTTTATGTCTAGGTGAGTATTCTAAAGCAATTGTAGCTCAATTTGATCAATGCTGTGAAGACAGAGGAGAAACTGATAGGCTGGAATCTGATTTTGGTGCCTTAATAATAATGGATAGAAACATTGACTACACAAGTGCTTTATTAACTCCAGGTACATATGCAGCCCTACTGGCTGAGATATACAATGTTAGTGCTGGTATTTGTGAAAAAAAGAAAGAGCAACTTGAAAAATTTGATGCAAAATGTAATCCTCTACCAGAAAAACAATCAATTAACTTTAGTTTAGATAGTAATATTGATAGTATTTACTATGATATAAAAAATAGATATTTTACAGAAGTGTTATCTGTTTTAAGTAATTTGACAAAAGAGTTAAAAACAGAAAAGATGAGTTCCATGGAAATGGCCTTAGATGAAATTAAACAATATGTACAAACACAACTACAGGCAACTAAATCCAAGAAGAAGTTTATAACAAATCATTTACAGGCTGCTGAAAGTATAATCAACATCTTAGGCCATAGATATGAAAATCAGAAGATGGTGGAACATAATATAGTAAGAAACAATGATAGAGCCTTAAACTTAAATTACTTGGAAGAGGTTTTAAACACTGAAAATGATAAATATATAACTTTGAGGTTATTCTGTCTCTTAATACTGTTTCAGCCAATGAGTGAAAGCGAAATTAAAACATTTTGGCTAAAATTCTTGCATCAGTTTGGTTTTAACTATGGATTTGCTTTCCATAATCTACTGAATATAGGTTTTATTCCAGAGCCAGTAGAAACAACTGGCAGTTTAAATATACAAGGAAAATTAAAGATTCCTATTTTTAGTTCTAGTAATTGTCTAATCAATTCTAAAAATTTAAAACAAATCCCACCTGACCCTACTACAGTTAACCTAAAGTTTCCTACATGTACAAGTTATGTATTTGGAGGAAACTACATTCCTCTTATAACCCAAATAGCTGGAATGATTCTTAATTCAATTCCATTAGATGAGATTAGAACTAAATTGGAAGTGTTTGGCCATCTATCATTAAGAAATGAAAGGGGATATCCTCTTCAGAACAGGATGGTGCTTATATATATTATAGGAGGAGTTACTTATGCTGAAATAGCTGCCTGCAATTTACTGGAAACTCTAACAGGGACTCAAATTGTTATTTTAAGTGATAGGGTTGTTACTGGGAATGATTTAATGCAAGGCATTTTAGATTATCCCAAATGATGCTTTGCTTTGTGAAATTTTGGTTTCACTATAGCTATTTGAATCTCATAGATGGCATCATAAACTAGTAATATGGTTTTAAATTTTTCAAGCATGATGTTTCCTATTTCAACATAAATTTTCAGTAAAGTTTTTCTCTAATATTTCAAGATTATTACTATGTTGTGGCCTTGATTTGATAACTTTTTAGATATTGTACCAATATCTGTATATATATACAGTAATACTAATAAATAATTTAAACTATTTCTGAACTGCTAAGTTAAAAACCTACATAATTGAGTTTGCTTACAATAAATAATATTAAAAGTGGTTAAAAGTAATAAAAGATGTTACAAATCTTTTTCGTCACTGCCATACCACTGTATATATTTTCTGTCAAACTGCTAATTTACTTGCAGACATTTTCATGAAAAAATTTGAAAAAAGCCCAAAAGCTAGTAGCTAAAGAGCCAGTGTCTTAATTCCATTATGTGTATGACACTTCTATGATCTGAAACTATGGGGAATTTCTTAAATTTTGTAAATTTCCGAACTGTAAAAATCAGTTCATCATAAACTAGAGAACAACAGATTGCATTTTTAGATATTTTGGTAGAACCAAAAAATCCATAAATAACATGGACACATAGTATACCAAAACCTAATGTAAACACACTGTTATTTGAACAGCAACTTGAATAACCACCAAAAACAAAAGAGATGAGTCATAAAAACCTTAACAGATTGCGCTACCAGATTATGTGGACCTAAATAATTGAGTGATGCATTTAAATATCTAGAAAAAACTTTTGCACAGAATGTTTATATCCAAGAGACGAGAATATGTCTAAAAATAGTCAACTGCACTATCAATTTAAGAGAACCAAAAAATAAAGATTTCTTACCACATATTAAAATTGTTACATATCAAATCGGCAAGATCTTAGCAAAACTTTACCTTAAGTCCATCTTCATATTAGTGAAGATGATACAATAAAATCATAAGATTAACCAAAGATTCAAGACAACCATTTTCGACTCAAGAAATTTACTTCATACCATGTAGTTGTGGTTTAGTTCATATTGGAAAAAATACTTGTTTACTAAACGCAAAGGAAACTGCTGTGTCATTCACTGCTAAAAATTGGCCACAGCAGAACATACCATCACACAAAACAACCACAAAGTTTTATTTCCATCAAGATCAGGAATACCATCTGATCGTCTGTTTCTGTTGAGATTCAGGATTAAATTATCTTCTTCCTCTTTATAAGCAATTCTGCTTGTTCATTGGCTGATTAATACCTCTATGGAAGGTTCACTCCTTTTTTTTTGTGCAGTCGTCCAATACTTCTTCTGCAGATTATTATCCAACATATTTTAAATATTAAATTATGTGGGATAAAAATAGCGGTTTCTATATTAATACTATTGTTCAATGGAAAAAAGTTCAGAAGTTGTAAGCTAAGATAGTTTTTATTAAAAAGTTCAAAATAAATTTTCACTAGCTTTAAGAAATGAGTCATATTGCTTATCCAAACTCTTTTGTTGTAAAAGTTAATATTGTCGTCACTTAAGGCATTTGTTTCTTAGATATTATTATTCTTAAGCCCATATATCTTTAAGAGCATTGTACTATTTTTATTAATAATTAATACTACCTAGTCTTTAGTATAAAGTGAATTGCATTTGTATTTTTGTAATAAGGTGGTAGTTTTTGTTTTTTAAGAGCCGTTACCGTTTAAAAATGTGTCCTTTCAAACACTTTCGTTGCGAAATATACACAGTTGCAACCTGTTTAAATATAACTATATGCGGAAGGAGCACCTGCGCTCATAAAAGTTAAAATGTATTTACGAAGAACTGTAAGTTGCCTACATTTTGCGCAACTCGTTGATAAAACTACAATTCTATGGAGGTCCAAATAGTAGATAATAAAAATAGCAGCATTTAATTAAATGCAAGGGTTACACGACGACGTTACAGTTATGCGTGGAGCGGGTAGTCAGCTTCAACTCGTTGAGTGCACGATTCAAAAGTTATTATAAAATAATCGCATACCGATTGTATACATTATAATTATGAGAATACAATAAATTCAAATAAATATAATATCAAAATTATGTTACATTATACCTACACTCACGGATAAAAATATTGCGTATTTTATTTTCAAGAATATTTTTTTGTTATATGAACGTTATTTATTTTTGTTTTGTTTAAAATCTAATTTATTTTTAAATTAAATTTAATAAAATATATATTTTTAAATAGAGATATCTTATATTGGTCTTTTATTTATTACAATTAATTTCATTAAGTGTTCAAGTTTCCACCTTTAGCTGGAAAGAGCAAAAATTACATAATAGATAATACATAGTACATAATAAAAATGAAATATTTAGTATTGCCTCCTCTAGGTCCCACAATAGCTTCGATACTCCTTATGTATGTTCCTCGGAAGTTTATGAACGGTTGCTTGCAGAATTCGAACCTTTTCTTGCTGTGCATCAATTCGAAATTATGCAACTGAGTGCAAAGCTGGATTTCGTTCTCTTATAGAAAAGAAGAAGAGTCTCAGTTTTTGTTATTCCTGGTATTTGTTCCTGGTTGACTGATTTATTTATTTATTGGCGAGGATATCCCATTTTATAAATATATTTATAAAAGATTACAAGAGTACCTACATTAGTTAATGCACATTCTCCTTTCTTTGATTTAATAAATTTGAGTATGAAATTCCTATAAACTCCAAACCACATTTTGTTACAGAACAGTTGGCCAATCTTAGCATATGTGACACAGAGGAGTAGAAAGTATAGATTGTCCTTTGAAAAGGAAAATGAAACATGTATTCTAATTGCTGAAAGCAGACCAGGACAGTCAACTCTCTTATTAAGAATTTTATACACAGTTCGAAATACAGGAAAATTGTATGGTAACCTCTAAACGAGGCTGATATTCATCTATAGGCAAAAAAACATTATTAGCCAAAGTAACCGAGGTATTGGAGATATGTAACCAAAATACATACAAAATAAGTAACGTCTCAAGAATCTCCTACATCTGAAGACGAAAACAAATTAAAAAAAAACATCTGGAATAATATTTAAATAGCCTTTATCACAACTGGGGGGAGGGGTATTTTCGTTTGCCACAGTTGTTGATCCTAGATTGTCATCCATCCAATGTACATTAGGCGAATTAAATTCACCATAGAAATGAAACATTTGTCTAAAAGAATATTAATGGTATTTCTCAATACTTTATAGGTCTAAAATCTCCATACTTCAGAGGGAATCTCCATACCACAGTCTATGAATACAAATAATTGTTCGATGTTTCGTGCTCATTCAATATGTTCACTAGTGAGACTTTTGAGAACTGCAATAAGAACTCAATCACCACGTTTATAGATACTAGTTTGAGGAGAACAATATTTCCTGAGACAAATGAAGGGCTTATTTCAAAAACAACCAATGTCAAACGAAGTAAATTTTTAGAAATGAATGAAAACATAATAAACTGATAGTATTTAAGCCTATGGCTGGTCTCAACTTGCGTGGAGGAGGGGCCTTTCAGTACTTAGATGTGGGCGTAAGACAGACTAGGCGCGGCCCAATGACAGGACAGGTACGAATAAGGCATAACCAAATAAGTACACGCGGATCAATTGTGGAGATGGCATTAGGCAGCAGTAATTAACAGCTTAACTGCAGCATTAACTGGATTAAGGCTCTGGGAAAGTAAAAAATTCTGTAGGCTTAATTCTAGATACTCATAGGCGCCACTCGCATTATGATTCAAACGGCTGTGACACTGCGATAGGGAAGGCAACGGGAAACCACCCCATAAATAGTCCCTAGTTCGTTCATCATGGTTAATGTAAACCAAATTGGTGAAGGTACTGATCATGGACTTCGGATAACAAGATCCGACAGAGGAGGAAGAACACGAAAATGTAAGGCTTCCCAGGTCGTCAACCCACGAAATCCTTACCAATATTTAAACACTAATAGAGAATATTGTTCTGAAGCTATTTTCTTGTGGCATTGTAAATTAATTACTATTTATAACTGGGAATAAGCCACAATTAAAGATAAAAAATACGTTTATTGACGTTTCAATTTCCAATTGACGTTTCCGAATTGGAAATTGAAACGTCAATAAACGTATTCTTTATCTTTAATTGTGGCTTATTCCCAGTTATAAATAGTAATTTACTAATAGAGAAAAAATGTACACGTGGAACTTTAAAAAAAACTGTACTTGGAATGTTTGAAGGGGGAAAGATATACAACACCATTTAAGAAATGAAAAGACTAAATATCGACGTGATGAGAATCATGGATGACGGATGAGCATATAGTATATTATGCGGGAAACCGTAAACCACATCACTGGAGTGGCGTAGCGGTGATTCTGTGCAAAAAGGTCGCTGGGGCTGTGATCAGCGTGCTACCTCTCTTTGATAAAGTCATTCTGATGAAGCTGCAAAGCAGACCCGTTAATACGAACATCATTCAATTTACGCTACAACATCAGAAAAGCCAGAAGAGGAGTTCTACGCACTTGTGCAAAAAGCACTAAAATACACCAAGAAGAACGAGCTAACCATCATCATGGGTGATTTCAGTGCCATTGGCAAAAGCAGAATTGATGACATCGTCGGACAACACGGCTTAGATGAGAAAAACGAAAGGGGAGACCGACTTATCCAATTTTGCGGGGAAGAAGATTTTACGATTGCTAACACCTGGTTTAGACTTACAGCCAACAATATCATCAGAAACCAGATAGACTTTACTCTCATTAACAAGAGATTCAAGAACACCTTGACTTCGGCGAAAACCTACCCAGGAGCAGACGTCTCATCGGACCACAACCCATTAGTGGAGTAGATAGAACTCAAACTAAAGAAACTCATCAAAAGTAAACCTAAAAAGAATCTGGATTACGACACTCTAAAAGACCCCGTAGTTCGTCAGAACGCAAGAGATGTAATGAGAGAAAAACTAGAAACCGCTAAACAACAAGAACAGAGTTTAGAACCAAAATGGAGATATATCAAAGATGTCATTCTAAATTCGAGAAAAAGAATATCTGGAAAAGAAAATAAGAGTA